AACAAACAAACAAAAACAAACAACAAACAAACAAAAAAAAACAGACACACACACAAAAGATTTGACAAAATGTTTTTACTTTTACTTGAGTTTTTCTTGGATGGATACTTTTTACTTTTACTTCAGTAAAAATATATTGAGGCAGAACTATTTTTTATATGAGTAAATTTTTTGGGTAGTCTACTCACCTCTGATAATATATAAATATATCTAATGATATTTTGCATCGCTGTTGGGTTTGAATCCAACTGTATTTATTTCGCAATGTTTATTCTTTAATTTTAGTTTCTTTGATGCTTTTTGGCCAGGTGTTTTTAATTGTTACAGCCAAGTATTTCTCTTCTGGGAAACTTCTGTCAGAAAGTCTTTTTTTGGTGGACACAGTTCTAATTCTTCGAAAATCACATGTTCACTTCTCCAAATGTAAGAAAAAGTCTTTCAGAGCCTTTATAAATCACTAAGGAATTATTATTATTATATTATTATTATTATTATTATTATTATTATTATTATTATTATTATTATTTACATGCAATAGAAAACTAAACCCTCACTTCTTTTAGATGTGATCTATTAAAATGTGTTTAAGATTTACGTTATACTTTATTTCAATGTTTTAATAATATCTAAATATTATAATGTCACAATGGAGAGAAAACAAAGTAAAATAAAAAGTCAATTATCTAAATAAAATAAAAAAAAAAAACTACATACATTAACACTGAGTCGATTTCTACCTCTGGTTATTATTACCTGTGGTTTACCTGTATTTTGAAACTGCAGCACAAAACCCCCCGTCATTGACGTTCTATGTGACAAAACCCTCTGTCACCTAGGCAGCGTGAGTTAACCTTCCTTAACTGTCGTAAAATCACGTAAATCTCATACAGCTAAAAAGGAGCGTGGAAATCTGCTGCAGCAACAGCTAATACATGAACAATATTTACTGATTTTCCTTTGCGCTTGCCCGACTTGGTAAACTACGTTCGGGACAAGCTGTGACATACTTGAAGACCGCGGCACCGGAGACCAGAGAGGATGTTTAAAAAGTACGTGTCTGTGTTGTACCGTTAGCTAGCAGCACACTGAAGTAACCAATGCTAAGCTGTTAGCATTAGCATGTTTGATATTGTAGAAAGATAATATTTATTATTATAAACTGACCCGAAAGATCTGTAATTTTCTACTGCTAGCACTAGATTTTGAGGTAAGCAGGGGTAGCTTCAATTAGCATTGGAAGAGGCAGCTTTATGCTAATACAAGAGTATTTTTATTTCTGTAAGTAGCTTTCTGTTAGATGTTAGCTGCATAAAATCAGTCAAACAGCTTTTGAGTGAGATCAGTAGCTGTTTTCTTCCATATTTCAGCTAAAACAGCACAACAGAAACAAACTAATGAACATGAAATTACCAACATGAAGTGAACGTATTATCAGATTAATATAAGCTGACAGCCAGTTCATGGGTTGACCAGGAAGTTTATTTTAATATTTTCTGGTAGCTTGTAAAACATGAATAGAATTATCAAAAATATAGAGGTACCATATATGGTTAGGTTCTACAAAGAATGTTGGTTTTCTTATACTTAAAATTCTAAATTGCAACATATTTGTGCAGAAGTCTAGAAGAAGTTGATCTTTTAAACATATTTGTACTTGAAAGAAAGAGGAATGGAGAAGAACTGTTCTGGTATTGATAATTAGGAATGAGGATGATGTTAACCTGTAACTAAAGATTTAGAATGTTGATGAGCAGTACCATGAGCATATATGAAAGAGTTATTGAATTAAAAATTGCAAAGAAATACGTAAATCACGGTTTTAATTTATTGTATGTGATTTCTGTACATAGTCCTTGCACAGTTTTGTAATAAAACTGTAATAAATTTTTAAGAGACAAAACTATTTACAGAAAGTCAAGTGATTATTTATATTCTGTTTAAGAATTTAATTTGAGTAGGAAGGTAATTTGTCTTGCAACTAACTGATTTATTAAATGTAAGACATATTTATTTTTCCTCATGGCTCAATAAGCTATTGATTGGTGTAATTCAAATAAAGGAGGTATTATATTTTAGATGTTAAAATTGTTGACATTTTGGGATTTTTTTGTTAAATTTATGTTTTGTTGTCAGACTAGTCAGCTGTATGGAGTGTGTTTGAAAGAGACTTTTCGAAACATAAAAAAAAATGTTTATTTGGTCCCTTCTATAATACTATCATATGAGTAGCAAATTAGTAATAAAGAATGTCATATAACAGAATTTAAAGTGTGTTCTTTAGTTAATTTGTGTTGTTTTTAATCTATAAAGTTTGGCACTTGAAAAATGTGAAAATCTGCCTTTAAAATGTTTGAAAAGTGTACTTTCCCTGTTAAAATGGTAATGTTTATTGTTCATGACTATTTTAAAATTCATAATGGTAATTTAAAGAAATAAGATTGGTGAAAAATGTACTCAATCAAAATAAACAGAGTTTACTTATCAGTATTTATTTTTATCAGTTTAAAATTATCACTAAAAATACATAATAAAAATATTTTTTTTGTTTTGTTTTTTTTCAGATTTGATGAGAAGGAAAATGTATCGAACTGCATCCAGCTGAAAACATCGGTAATCAAAGGCATCAAAAATCAGCTGCTGGAACAGTTCCCCGACATCGAGCCATGGCTCAATCAGATAATGCCAAAAAAGGACCCAGTTAAAATAGTGAGATGGTACGATCCCGTGTTTCCTGCCTTCGTTGTTTCATGAATATTCTGTTCAGGTTCTTTAACTTCTGTGTGCATTTCAGCCATGAACACATTGAAATCCTGACAGTGAACGGAGAACTGCTTTTCTTCAGACAGAGGGAAGGACCTTTCTATCCAACCCTCAGGCTGCTCCATAAATGTAAGTGTTCCTCAGCAACATTAAGAATAAAATCTCTGATTAATATATATATATGTTTTTTTGTTTTGTTTTAAAAAAGAGATCATAAATGACAGGAAATATTTTGAGAAAGCAACTTTTATTTCAATCATTTCTCTTTTGTGAATTGAACCACAGAATCTTTGTTTAACTACTAGTATATGAACTAGTTAAATCTTTGTTGAATGAGTTTAACTACTAGTATATGTCTTACTTTTAGCAAAGTAAGACACAATTTCACCAGTAGAACATCCTAAACTTACGAGAAAAAAATGTTTTAATGAGAAAAAAACTTAATGGATAATTAATTTTTGGTTATTTTGTCTTGAAATATGTTTTATTTTTTTCTATTTCTTTGACGCCTCTTGTATTTCTTGGGCAAAAATGCTGCGAAAACATTACCATATTTTTAATAACATTATGACTTAAAAAATGTTAGCCTCACACTTAAAGTTTTGCTGGATTCAAGGTTTAAATAAATCTAGAATAGTCAAACAAGATGGCTGCCCTGTGCATGCTAACATCAAGTCAAAGGAGTGAATTGTTGAAAAAAATTCAGATTTTCCAAAAATTGAATATTTAATTAATTACACAGCCCTACTGATACTGAAGTATTTATTTGATTATATTTCCTCTTTTTCTCAGATCCTTTCATTCTTCCACACCAGCAAGTGGACAAAGGGGCCATAAAGTTTGTATTGAGTGGAGCGAATATCATGTGTCCCGGACTCACCTCACCAGGTGCCAAACTCTACCCTGCTGCTGCCGACACAGTAGTCGTATCCTTTTAATCCTGATGTGTTATTGTAGTTTTAAACACCTGTTTTTGATGTCCAACATCAACTTCTGCTTTCTCTGCAGCTTTTACATAAACATTTCCAACATGTTTGTCTTTAACAAGTTGATTCAGGCGATCATGGCAGAGGGGAAGCAACATGCGCTCTGTGTTGGTGTGATGAAGATGTCGGCTGAAAATATGTAAGCCTCCCAAATGGTTTTCTAAACAAATAGTTCACTGTTTACATCCTTGTGAGTCTAAGATCGTAATCTGTGTCTAACAGAGAAAAAGTCAACAAGGGAATTGGAATCGAGAACGTTCACTATCTGAACGACGGTTTGTGGCACATGAAGACGTACAAATGATGACCCCACCCAGACCGAGCGACAGCAACTCAACTGTTTCCACCTTCGCTTTGCAACCTGCTGGAGGCTGCAAATCTGCCATCATGACGCACAAATGAATAAAATATCTTGGTTCAAACCACAGCTAGTTTGTGCTTTTCTTAATTATTATTTGGATTAGAAGTAGCATCATGGATGTGATGTGGTTTTAAGACATGTTTGCGTTATGAGGAAGGGAGTGGTTATAAGTCCCACACAAACCAACAGTTAAACTGGTTTGTCTGCATTCTTTAGTTGGGAGCAACATAAATTTTCAAGTAAATAAATAAAGTAGTTGTAGTGTTAGTTAAAAACTGATGTTAAATGTCAGTTTAGTTTGTAAAAATGTATTAAAATCCAAGCAATTAAGAAGAGCAGCTTTTACTACATTTAGGTAACGTTATCTACTGGTACTTGGGTAGCAGCACTACAGGTTATGAGGATACAGGATGCACAGTTTCACAGGATTATTTTCATAACTTGTAATTTGCATAACACATTAGTTGAATACTGAAATGTTGGATTTATTTTTTTTTACCACCCAATAAGACATTTTTAGTAGAAATATAATTTATAAATGTTAAAATAACGTAAACATTTAAACTCCAGAGATGTGAGAATATGTTTAAAAACAAAAGTATATTTGTTTCTTCTCACCATTTGCATTTTTAGAATTTTTCTCTAGCTTTGGTTTGAAGTTCAACTATTTTAGTTTATATTCCATATTTATTTCTTGAAGTAATTTGTCATGGTTTCAACCAGCTTAAGCTGTTTTTTTCTGTTTAATTTGCCATGAAACCAAATAGAAAAAACTATTTGTCAGACAATTGTAATTGCTAAATGCTTAAGTTATTTTTAGTAATATTTTTATTTTTATAATCAAAGTCATTCATTTTTGGGGATAGAAAATGATTTAGTAATGCACAAAAATATTAAAAGTTCCTTAAAGGATTGATTTCTATCACTTTTATTCAAACAAAAATTAGGTGAATGTAAAATAAATCAAGAACAAAAACCCTAAAATATTTAAAACCCAATTCTTTGTAAACAGAAAACTAAGCAAATCATTTAAGCAGCTTGATTACAGCTGAACTGTGTCATGACTAAAGCTGCAGTATGTAACTTCACTAAAATGTTTCTTTGTATTAAAGTTGTCACCAGTTCATTAGACAGATGCAAAACTGAACTGTTTCCAGTCAAAAACAACCATCAGAACCAGGAGGGTCTTAGCGCTGTCAATCATCCTTATGCTCAACCCGTTAGGTTCACCACAATACAGCTTGTCATTAGTTCTAATGCCAGTTAGCATAGCCACAGATTATAGCAGATAAATGGTTTCCCTGTAAGGATGATTTGTTTTTCCTTACAACATTTTGCCGCGTACATGTGGTTGATTGACAGAGCTAAGACCCGCCTTCTTGTTTTTTTTTTTTTTTTTACATTCAACAAATATGTGAAAGTATAAAAGTTACATACTGTAGCTTTAAGGGTGCAACAATAAATCTGATCATCATTGGGTAGAACTCCACAGATATAGATTATTTTTCTACAACAAAAAAAATGCTTAAGGATTGAGAACAAAACTTCAGGGACCATAATCCAAATCGAGATGATCCAGTCTCAGATCCACAGACATCCGGCACCGCCCGAGTCAAGTGCAAAAAGTTAGAAATATACAGAATTCCCCCCAGGATCGAGTCTCTTAAACAAATATCTAGAGTCAGGTTTGCCATCACAGAAGCAATATCTTCAAAAACGAGAGCGAGGCTAGTCATTATCTGAGCCTTTGGGAGGAAAAAATGTCAATAGGTCGTGGAAGTCGTGTCCGTATGGACGGAGTCTGTAAACTCCGAACATCATGACCTGCATCTGGTTGGCGGACAGGCCGCTGAAGGTGACGGCCAGGTCGGAGCAGCAGCCCTCCACCACGTTGTTGGGGTTCTGCTTCATGCTTTCCGATATCAAGCTGTCCACCGTCTTACTGTTGAACAGGCCCTTCCCATGGACGTCCTCTCCGTTCTCTGCAAATACTCCAGTGTACTTTAGGCACACGGCAAGCTGCTTGTCGTCGCTGAGCTTCCACAGCTGCCGTCCTCTCTCTGGACACTTGTCCTCGTCCTGGAAGATGTTCGCCAGCCTCTTGAGGGCCTCGTAGCTGAGGACGATGCCGCTGTTCAACTCGACATACTCCAGCTCCCCGGACTTCACCGCCTTCCCCAGGTAGAACGGCTGCTGCGGGTCTTTGGTGAGCACCAGGTACTTGAGGTTCTCGATGATGGCGAAGGTGTTGGGCTGAGCCGAAGCGCGTGCTTCAGAGCTTTACGCAACCTGGCCCAGTCGTCCTTCTCGTTCAGGTCTATGGCCTCCAGTGCCTTGGAGGCCTCTGAGGTGTAAAACTCGGCCTTGTCGCAGTGCTTGGTCCAGGTGTCCATCGCCGTGGCCCAGTAGACAAGGCTTTTGGGCTGCACCATGACAACGCAGTAGACCTGGAGTTGGTCGTTCAGCTCCTGAAGCCGGCTGTCAGAGAGTTGCTGGAGCTCGTCTTTGCTTGCAGCCTTGACGTGATGGTGGTGGTGGTTGCTGTCCGTCCTGGACTCGGTGACGGGGCTGAAGCTGCCCAGCAGCGACAGCACCAAGCAGAAGAGGCCACCCAACACCATCCCCTTCATGAAAGAGCCTCCCTCCGACAACATGATGGCAGCAGCGGCTGGACAAGACAAAAACTGTTGTTATTTCTCATTTCAGGTGAATCAGATCAAGCTAATACTGTTGCAACAAATCAGACGCATGATAAATTAAAACAAACTCAATTATTTCCATTTTTCTGATTTAACATTTCTCTCTTTCTACCAAAAACTGGATGATAAAAGTTTTCACATTGATACTTTGGTCTCAACAAGCTCTTTTTTTTTTGAAGGACCATTTTGTTTACAGAGACTTTATAATTTATTTTATTAGTTCTTTCCGTTGTTTTATATTTTTAAAATGTCTTTCAGTTAAAGTGGTCTCAAAACAATTTTATTATTCATAGCAATAACTTCTCGGACATTTTATCACCCAGCCAAATTTGTAATTATGACTGGGTCGCTAAAACGATTAATCCTGAAGAATCAATTACTGAAATAATAGTCAACTGATTTAGTAATCAATTAACTGTTAACTGGAGCATTCAGACTGAAAAAATTCTAATTTCCGAAAGAGCAACATACTCAGAACAGAACCGTAAGTAAACCAAACTGTTAAAAATAATGCATACGTTTTGTATTTAAAAATGTAAAAAACTTCTTTGTCTGTAAATATTTCAGATCTCAAGTGAAATAGTTTTAGCTTCACCTGTTTCAAATTTAAAATTAATCTCGTAACTTAGCACCTTTCCTATCCAATTATAAATCAGTTAATCCAAAAAATAACAGATCAGCCCAATACTGTATAAATCTTAAGTTAGAAGTACTTTAAGAAAAACAATAATCAGGTGACTTGAAAGACTTTGTGTATGACTCTGTAAATAAAGGCAAAATATAAAGAGCAGGATATACATTCACTGTTCAATCAACTGCTAAACAAACTGAACTCTCCATTAATGAGAACGAAGCTCTTCCTGTTATAAACCAGCTCTGTGTCTTTAAGAAACTCACTTTTTAACAGGCTGTGGTTTCAAAGCCATTCATTAAAAGTCTCTTTTTTGCCACGCCTACAGTTTAAAGTCCTTTTACTAACATACAAGGAAAACTATTGGACGCACCCACGTTTTCTGGTTGTACAGTCTTGCCCATCCCCCACATGTTGCTGCAGAAGGCTACTAAACTAAATTAAAAGCCTGTTACTAATACTATTTTAAAAATACACCTGACTATTTATGAGCAGATATTGTAAACCAGGTAATATCTGCTTACTGCACTGTCGGTGAAAAAAAAAACTAAGTATTTTTTTATTAAGACACTGGTTTATTTGTCATAAAAGAATGAAATCTAATATTTTATGATTCACATGTGTAACAGGGTTTTATTTATTTATTCTTTGAATTTATTTTGGATAATAAATACGTTGTTTCTTCGGACATGTTTTACGTTGTGACGCTGCTCTTGGCAGTTGGTGGTTGTCGTGGCAACCAGTATCTGACGGCTCCTCCCCCTTTTTTTCGGTTGCCGTTTGTGACCGTTTGGCACCAACAGCAGCTTTAGGATCAGCACTGCGGTTTCTTTACGAGTATTATATTTTTAAATATATTTTAGACAAGTTCAATAATATACAGTCACGTTTACGAGTAACTTTGCTACGTTTCTAAGTATTATTATTAATGTTGCCCATTTTAGCGATGTTTTAAGTCTGCAAATACTAACTGCTGCTAACTGCTATTAACTGCTCATTGGGAGCTATTCGGTTTTTGGTTTGCTTATGGTTAAATAAATAATTATTTAGGCTCCTCACGGAACGGGCTAAGAGTAAACACCATTATGTAATACATGATGACAACTTAGGCCAAATTTAGTGAGTATTTGTATTTCTACCAACAGTAAATAAACGTTGCATGATAATCCTTATATAATTGCACTAATAATTTATATTAGATGTACATTTATAATTTATTATCAATCTTTAACAAAATTATTCCTTTTCTTATTATTTATATATTTTGGTTTTAAATTCTTACATTTTTGCTGAAGTTGAGACCCAATCTGATTCTGTTGACTTAAAACTGACAAGCACCTTGTAATGCTCTAAAAATTAAACTATGTGTAACTGGATCCCTTCTGCGTTGTGCTGGTTTTATTGAGTGATTTACATTTGTTAAATATAAATCATAAAAGGCTGAATTACACATAAACAATGCTAAACGTCCTAAGTAAGAGGCTAGTTCTGTTTTGAAGAACACCCGTGTTACATCTGGAGATTACTGTGGAAAAAATATTCTTTATAGAATCAATAAAATTACAGACAACCCCAAGCATCCTATACATTCTTAAGTCAGAGGCTTCTACAGAGATGCAGGAGTTCATAGATAATCAGCTTCTACAACAACTGGGATTATATAAATCACAACATTTAATAAAATGTTTTTTTTATTCATTTAAACAATTCAACCATTGATGTATGAAGACTTACAAATTAATGTTTCTCGTCATGTTAGAGAAATAAACCATAAAATCTGGTAATACGAAACATAAATAACCACAATTGTCGGGTTTGATTGTCCCTGCACAAATACTGTAAAGCAGTAAAGTTCAAAAAAGAAACTCTGAAGCAGTTTGTTCAAAAACGGACCATTTGTTTTTTAGTTTAGTCCACGCTTAACCTCTTTAACGTGTCTTAAATTCAGGGGCAAAAATTATTCTAAAATTTTAGAATAAAGATCATATTTTAGTTTTAGTGTTTTAAACTTAGCTCCGATAAGCTAACAGGTAACTTCAAAACGACTACTGAAGTCGTTCGGGCTGAAAGCCCTATGCTAACGGCGAGCTACTTAACTCCATATTCAGGCTTTCTCTTTGATTTTCTCGGCAACATAAATAAAACAAAAACGGAGGATTTAATTCTGCCGTACCTCAGCGGATTATTCCTGCCTTGACAGCTGGTGCCTTCGCTGTGACTGTCTTTCAACTCACACTTTTCCTGTTTGGTTGGTCACCGACGTCAGTCTGCGTCAGTCTAATCTTCTTCTTCTTTTCCATTCATTTGTTTGAGCGGATATGTGCTGCCCCCTTCAGGATGTTTAAAACAGCTCGCCTTGACTTAAGTATCTCTTTGCAGACACTCTGATTCATAGTGATAAATGGTGTGGATATTTAATCAAAAACCTTAATAAATAACAAAATATGAGATTTATCCTTTATACTGTTACACAGAATGTATAATACTACCCAAAGATAAATATATTACAAAAAAACAGACCCCAACTGTATATTTAGAATTTTTCTAAATATACTGTTCAAAAGTACTGGACGTTTAAAAAATAGGAAAAAAAAAACCCAGATAAAATAACACATAAAAAGACAAACATCCATTTAAAAAATACATCAACTTTCATTGTAAAAATGAACAGTAACTAATATTGCACTTTAGTTTTATCTACAGCTGATCCTGAACAGAGCTGATTGGAAAAGGTACGTGTCCATTCTGATTACCTCAAATTAAATGTCTGAAATGAATAAAAAAACACTAGTTTCACCAAGGAAATTTTATTTAATGAGTCTGCTAATTAGTCTATTTTGATTTCACTGACTATAAAATTAAGCTTTTACAATGCTCCTTTGCTTTCTTATTGTCATCTGGTTGGCAGAGGGATTCATCAAATGTTGTTTTTTAGACAAAAAGAGATGAAACCATAAATCACCCGACGGCCTGCACACTGATCTGAAGAGCATTAGAGAGCTTTCAGTTTGACAAAGAGCCTCACAGGCCAAACTCTTGATGAGGAGAAAGGAGTTCAAAACCTTTTTTCATTTTTTGAAACAAATCCTTTCTCACTTTGTTGTTATTTTATAGATCTAACTTCAGCTTGTATAGAAGGTGAATACATTCTCAATTCTTATTTTCCCCTACAAATAGGAAAAAGGTGGATTAAATTTTGACATCAGCGTGTCTATATAGTCTCTCATAATGAATAAAAGGTATTTTTATAGTCAGTAAGGAATCTGGATGAATTGAAAAGACAACAGTATACTTTAAACTTCTACTTGAATAATTCTCTGTTCCACTTTTCCTTCTCTCTTGTCCTCTTGAACATAGTTAATTAAAAACAGAGAAATACATGGTAAACTGCTTTAATACTCCCGAAGTAAACATGCTATGATCTGCATACAGAAGAGCATATGAAGTTCTTAATTAACTACTATTCTATATAAATATCATACAACATAATTTATTTTAAATGCATTATATGAATAATTGCATGTTTAATTTGCATGTCTTAAAAGTCTTATCTGTAACATTTGCACTGTATTGCTTGAGGAAACAATGATAGGGGACATTTTTGAAAAAAACAATGTCTGCTGATATAAGGGAATCACTAAAGAGCAATTAATAATACCAAGATCACAATGCTTCAGCAAAAGCTATTCATATTTTTCTTAAAACTTGCACAGGAAAATTATTTTAAATTGAATACATTTCAAATCAGTTTTACAATAAAAATATTTCACAAATAATTTATTTACTGGACCACTTGTTAAACCAGTGGATCAACGCTCTTTTCAGGCTCTTAGTGCCGGTGTCCCCCATAGTTCACACTTTGCCGCCAGCGAAGACTCCTGGTGCCGGCCAAAGATCCTGTTGAGAAATTTAGAAAATCCAGAATGGCAGCCAGTATCTCATTGTTCCTGACTGGTACATGTCAACCAAAATGTACCTGACTCTTTGAAACATATTTGGTCTTGAGTTTTCTTCTGGGCTTTTATCTTCGGTGTCTTCTTTTGTCTGCGGTCTCTTCACTTGGGGGACCTTCATTGGATTTTACCGCCACTCTGGAATTAATGTGTTGCAGTTTTTCATTCAAAACAAAAAATGAATTCAACAGCTCATCGTTATTAACTTCAAGCCTTTGTAATTCTTCTGTCCTCGCTCTCAATGTCACCTCTGTATTTATTATTATCGTCCTTTGTATGCCTTCCAGGAGCATGTTTAATCTAACCATTGCATTATACTTGCGTTTCAGTTGCTGGATTGTTGATTTTGATAACTCCAAGTCAAAGCTGAGTGTTTTTTACAATGTTAATTTTCATTAATAAGCATTTAATTCTCTGCTACCAGACTCCTTGCATTGTTGTTGATATTGAGGTGCTCAATTTCCCTCCTGAACTTTTCTAGTGTGTTTTTAAGTTGCCCATTTTCTTTCTTCAACTTCTCATGGTTCTGCTCTAAAACTTTTTCTTTGTTAAACCAATTTCTGCCATTGGACTTGCTTTTACCATTGCTTTTGTAAAATGGTAAACTTGTTGCTCTCTGTGTCTCACCTAAAACTGCAAATAAATTTCTCTGTGGCGAGTCAACATAGTAAATGTATTCGTATATGTGCATTTTTTCCAAAAAGTTACTCAAGTAAATGTAACTAGTTACCATCCAACTCTGTCTAAAGTGAAATAATCTGCCACTGGAACAAGATATTTTTCACATGTTGGAAATTAAAATGATTTGTTCCGCTTGTGCAACAGCATAATTAGGCATTTTGATATGATGTAATCTTTTCTTTCTGATTTTATCCTGTTTGGACTTCATTTCCACTTTCCACTATGTTCTGTTTGTTTTGTTGCAAAACTTATAGCAACAGTTTTCAAATCAATGATTGTAACATATCCCATACGATTTCAGAAATATCTCTCATTTGTCGCAGAATGACGTAGACAAACCCACCAGTGACACATTTCCAGGCGTTCTGCGTCTTCCTCTGGCCGCAGACATGAGCAATGACCAGAAGCCCAAACATGAACCATCAGAGCTGCTCTGATTGCCGCCGGAGAGCAAACATTTGTTTGGTTTCTCTGTCCAAGCACAGATAGGCCTCAGCTGAATTGACAGGGTGCCCTAAATTGTATCGGTGACGCCCGATTCTTCGTGTCAGAACCATTAAAGAAAAAGACTGGGGTGTGATGATAATGTATTGATCAGGCTGTGATGGATGGCCGCGGAGGAAATAAAAGTGAAGTTCCCGTTTGGGTCGAAAACAGTCCAGATCTGGCCATCTGAACGGAGAGACACCATGCTTTCTGCAGCTCTGTTTCACCTCTTAGCTCTGATTTGCTCTACAACATGGACACACGCTCTGCCTGTTTATCCAGAACCCAACATGGAACCACAAGTAGGTAAGATTCAAACTTTATTCTTGATTTTAAAGTGGAAATCAGGAAAAATCTTATTATTCTGATTGTTAAATTATATTTTTATTATCAGAAAATGTACTTTCTAAAAGTAACCAAGTATTTTCAGTCTATTTTATAGTGCAAATATCTATACTACACTTAGAACAAAACAAAACCAACTTTCAAGTAACTTTTCAGCAAGATATAAGAGCTTGTTTTAAGTGAATAATTCCTTGTTGTTAATGAAAAAGTGCTAGTTTGCAGATCATTTCACTTAGAGCACAAACCCCCCCCAAAACAAACAGTCTTCATGACTAGAAGCATAACGTCACACAATTAAAACTCAGATATTCTTTGAGGAGTTGCAAATCTGTTGGATGTGTTTACTAAGTTTATAAAGTCAGATATTTACAACAAAAAGTGACCAAAGTCTAAGGTTTACTTGGTAAACAACGCAAAAACAAAAAATATTGCAAAGTATGTTGGTCTAGTTTGTAGTACAAACATCTTAGTACATTTGAAATAAAAACAAACAAACTCATAAGCAACATCAGAAAAATCTTGTTTTAAGTAAATATTTATTAATATTGATTTAAAAAGTGCTTGTTCCACTGGCAGATTAGTTAATTTAAAACATAAAATTTTTCCATGTTATAAGTGAATTAATCTGCCAGTGGAACTAGCACTTTTTCATCAATGTTGAGAAATTATTTACATAAAATAAGCTCCTATATCTTGCTGAAAATTACTTGTAAATTAGTTTTGTGTTAATTAATCTGAACCAGAAAATAGTCCAAAAATACTTGGTAAGATTTTATGTTTTTGTAGTGTAAACATCAATATAAACAAAACAAAGTTGTTTTATTTCAACAGATTTCATTCATAAGTTGGTGTCAGAGGTGGAAGATGGAGCCAATCCTGCCGAGGAGGAACAGAGAGAGGCGAATAACCTTTACCCTCTAATGATGCACCAGAACGGAGGTAGAGACTCCTGGACCAAAGGTGAAACCGGGACAACCAACATTTACAGCAAAAAAACACAAAAAAGATTAAATATGTGACATTAACGGTGTGATAACTTATTCTTTTAGGGGCAAAGGATTTACCGCCACAGGGAAATTTTGCAAATATGGTAAGAGTGTAATAATTAGTGCATATTTATTACTATACATCAAGATAATTACAAAATTTCACAAACAGTTTGAAGAAAAACAGAAACCAAAATGTCACTGACCGACAAAAATGGTTAAACTCGAATTTCTGAATCAAATTTTTACTTTTATTTTTCCAGGTGGAGGATCTTAAAGAAGTTGTCCTGAAGCTGGCTGCAGCAGACAAGCTGCGCTCTCAGGGTTTTGTCCGATCAGAGCAGAGTCTGCCAAAAACAAACAAAAGGGGTGAGAGAAGAGACGATTTTTCTCTCTAATAATCACTCCTGCATTCCTTACTGAATAGTTTTTAAGTCATGTTTACTACAATTTTTTTTACCCGAGCTATAATGCTTTTTTCTTTTAAATGATATTTTGGTAATTTATCCCTCCTTCCTGTGTTTAACTGGACTGTTTTCCGCTTGCAGCGTGTTTCTGGAAATACTGTGTGACCAACTAGAGCGCAGCAGGCCGATGCTTAGATCCTGGCTTTGGATGATGTTCCCACTCTTCATCATTTTTCTTTTATTTCCCATTGAATGTGTCGACTGTACCACATATAAAAAAGAGGATATATTTTTAAACCTGTAAAATTGTCTTTTTCTGTGACTGAAAATAAATTAGAATATATGAAATGGCCTCTACACCCAGATATCCGGTTTTATTTTCCTGAAGAACAACAGAAATGTCATGATGAGAAA